ACCTCTGGGACTGAGGGGTAACTCCCATTTAAGGGGCTGTACGAGGCTCCCCTAAAAGAAGGCCTGAGCCTCCCTTCCAGCCCCCAGCCTGCCTTGTCCAGGGCCTTCTAGAGGCAGAGCTCTCTGTGGCCAGAGACCTTCAGGGGTAGCCCAGGATCAGTTACTGGGCATCAGGGCTGTGAGAGGTCTTGGGTCTAGACTAGACCAATGAAAATATGAGCTACAAGTGTAATTTAAAATGTTCCAGAAGCCACATTAAAAATTAAGAAGGAACAGGTAAAACTAATTTTAGCAGTGCATTTTCTTTAAGTCAGTATCATCATTTCAGCATGCGGTACTGACCACATCTCGCGAGATCAATAGTGGGCAGTGGACTGTGTAGCCCAACTCTTGATTCTAGCAACCTCCCCCATTTTCCGATGAGGACGGGGTCCAAGTATTGAAAGAGAGGGCACCAGGGTGGGAAGGGAAGCCCTGAACTCCACCCCTACACTGAGGCTCACCAGCCCCTCCTTCTAGCCTCCCAGTAAACACTTGTGGCCTGTGAAATAGGCCTTTTCACAATAAATCAAATTCAGGGGGACTGCAACATACACCTATTTGGAATAGACAAACTGGAGAGGAGTAGAAATGGATATACTTGACATCACACGCTCGGGAACAAAGACCACCCGAAAGGAAGAGGAGGGAGGTGCTGGGAGACCTTTGCCCTGGAGGCAAGCCTAGATGAGGACCTCTGTGTGCCACCCGGGATCAGGGACACCTGGCTCCTCTGGGTTATAAACACCCACGCGCCAGCACTGGGTCTGGTGAATTTTCTACCACGTCTCCCTGGAGGAACTACCCACAAAAGCTCCTCTCTGCTTTAGAAGGCAAGAACAAGTCGTGCATTTACCCAGTGCTTCTAGTCTTCTCACTCCGAGTCGCCATGCCAACACACAGTCATAATTACCGAGGAACGCGCCCATAGTGGCAGCATTGACAAAGACACTATATCAGGGCCTGTGAGCTAAGCAAGGTCAGGCTCCTCGCGGCCCCCCAGCTTCCTGCCCACTTCCTTTATTCCACTCTGATCCATCTCTTTCCCTTCATTCTCTCTCTCCCACCCAGATGGTCTCTTATTATATTTTCTCTGCAAAGAAAGGCACTACAGCTCAGTGTATAAAACACTTTTATAGCAATTAGAAGACAGGTTCTCCTTTGAGTCTTGATTTTAACTTGTGGGAAAAGTCACTTTAGCATCCAGGCCTCAGTTATTGTGCTGTGAATGGGGAGAATATTTTGGTGAGTGCCTGTATTTAATTCACCTACTAAATTCAGGGACTGATGTGTGTCTAGTTGACTCTAAGATCTTCTTTATGATCAGCACCAGAGATACCAGAAGCTCAGGGAAACCAAAGAAGGTTCAGATCAGAGAAGGAGTTGGTTCTAATACCCTGAGAACAGCAGGGCCTCTATCTCCCCGGATGAAAGGGACAAATCTCAGAAAAGGAGCCAGGAGCAGCTGAATTACCATTCAGATTATAAAAAGATGAGTGGGATGGATGAGATCAGGCTAAGTGACAGCATCCCAGGCCCCCAGTGAGAAGGAAGACATGCACCCATTTAAAATGAGAGGTCAGAAAAAGAAGGCAGACAGGCATCACCCAAGCCCTACACAAGAGCGCCCCAATTTCAGAACACCCAGTGCACCAACATCTGAACTTACAAAGGAGATAAACTGGAGGCTGATGATTAGCATCACAAAATGATTATTCCCTTTGTAAAAGGCTTCACTGCAGGACTGCTTTAAATAGTGCATTTAAACCATGATCTGATTTGCTAAATTCGATTTATACACATCTACTGCCTAAGCTGGCGTGCGGCTGTATTTACATGTCTTCCCTTGGCACGGAGGATGGGGGAGGCCAGCCATTATTTGGGGCCTTTAATCCTTGTAGACAGAAACTAATCTGGGGAGCTGAACCCTGTTTTTCTTCCACAGCTGGGGCTTAGCTATAAACTGGCCTCAGCTTTCCACTGTGCTTCGCCTGGGCAGAGTCTGCCCAAAGACGATGGTCAGGATTTGGCTAGGATCTGTTGGGGCCTTTCTGCCAATAGGGGCTCCTCACCAAGGAGGAGACCCCCTCCCACACCCACGGGTAACAATGTTCCAGTACAAATTCCCAGCGAATCTGGTCTGTGGTAGGCTCACTAAATGTATTCAGCATGTAGAGTTACCATGACAGGGTTCAAAGGCTGCCTTTTGGGAGTCACAGAGATTTACTAATCTATGTAAGTTCTGGGGATCTGATGAGCCACATTCTGCAGTTTGTACTTAAGCCACAGGAACCGAATCTGGGCAGGCACAGAAAGGCTGGCTCTCCAACCAAAGAAGACAAAATAATGGGTCCACCAGGCTCATGACTGTGCTGGTGAGATCAGGAACCCTCCTTAGTTCACCTAAGGGGACTTGCAAGTCTTACTGATAGCACAGTCCTTCAAGAGAGAAATGATCCCTTCTCATGAGGTCCAACAATATGATAAGGCACTTAGGAGCCAGACCACTACCAAAAGAGGAAATTAGCCAGCTCACACTGTTTGCTAAGAGAGTGAGGTCTAAGAAATTCCTGGCTCAGGAATGCAACATTCAAAAAACAAAGTCCAGAGAACTCAAGCCAAAGCCTCTCCACCATTAATAACCCCCATCTCCTAGTACCAGGAGAACGACTCGCTGGTTTATCAAATATTTAAAGATACCCACGAAGAAGAGCCCCCCACCTGGGAACTGGGGCAAAGAAAAGAACAACAGAACACAGGTCTGAGTTTATAGTAGGGGACAAAGGGGACAAACACAACTAAACCATGTCCCTGTTGAGAAGCCCACTAAAGTCAGCTCATGAGCAGATGGGAATCCGGACCCAGGGTCCCAGTGCCCACTCTATTAGCTAACTTTACGACCCACCGTGAGGGAAAACATCACTTAACCTCTCTGGGCCTGGTTCCCCCTGATCTGTGACATGAACAGTTGACCTACATAATAACCAAGCTTTAAGTTTTCTATAAATCTTATGGAGGAAAAAATGCTCCTATCTCTAAAAATCCTGATAACCTTCCTTCTTTGAACAAGGTTATAACCCATCACATTTTCTTCTTTTCTTGGCTGCCAGGAGGCTCCGACCAAGTAGAATATTATATCATAGCATCTATTTAGGCCAGGGCTTTAGGCCAGGCATTTGGGCAGGTGACAGGAGAGCCCTCACATGTAGGGCTGGCTGTATGGAGCTGGAGATTTGAACTCAGGACAGGATGGGCTTGCCAGATGAGTTCACAAGGGTGATGAATCCCTACATTGCTGTGTATAATAAATACATACGCATGTGCAGAGCCTGCAGTTAAGAACTCACGCTTGGGGGTGGACGGCCCTGAATCTGCATTCAGGTGCTGCCACATCCTGGCCAGGCCCAACTCACATGAGGGACTCATCACTCTACATGTCACGCTGAGGCCCGAATTCGAAAGCGTGTTAAGTGTTTAGCACGGGGCCAGGCACAAATCGAGATTCAATAAACACAGGGGAACATTACTGGAGTTTCTTAGTCACTCTGTACAAATGCATACGAGTGAGACCTGCCTCGGGGCAGCCGTGAGTCAGTGGGGGCCGTGGGAACAGCGACTGCGCTTAAACTCTTCCCCCAGGTGTAAGGGGGGCAGCGGAGGAGCCCACCCCTTGCCCTGGGGCCGAGGCCCCGGAGAGCGAGCTCAACGCTGCTGCTCCGCAGCGCCAGCCCCGCCTGCTTCCTTCCAGACTGACCCGCGGCGCACGGGGACGAGAACAGGGCCCCCAGGCCGGTCCTGGGCGCCAGGCGCACCAGGGGGCGGAGGGCCTCGTTCCCTGGGCGCCGTTGGCCTTGCGCGCCGGGCCACAGCCCGTCCTGGGAGGGCGCCACTCGGCGTCGCGGTTTCCGCGGAAAGCGGGGCCTCAGCCACGCGCCCGACACTCGCACTCAGAGTGCGAAGCGCCGGCGGCTCCCGACTCCGAAATAACGCCGCGGCTCCCCCGGCCGTGGGGAGGCCCGTCTCTGCCCCTGCCCGGGGCGGGCGGGGGGCGCGGGGGGCCCGGGCCCGGCGCCGCGTCCTCCGCCGCAGCCTGGCGCGCACCCCGGGCTCCCCGCCGGCCGGCCGCCCGCAGCGGCTGGGGCGCGGGCAGCCGACGGCGGGGCCCGCCGGGGTCGCCCAGGCGCCGCCGCCTCCCCCGGGAGCCCGGCCGCGCGTTCCGCCTCCGTGGGCCGCCCGGCCGCGCCGCGACCTACCTCGCGCCCACGCAGCCATCTTGCCGCCGCCGCGCTCTCAAAATGGCCTCCCAGCCCCGCCGCTCCCGCCCGAGCCGCGGCGGGGGGCCACGGCCGTGGGGCTGCCGGCGCCTTCCCGCCGCCCTGGGCCGGCCCCGGGAGTCCGGCCCGCGCCCTGCGGCCGGGCGCTGTCCCGACGACCCCGAAGTGTGCGCGCTCGGAAAGGCCGCCTCCTGGCCCAGGCTCGCGCCCCGCTGCGGCCCCCGGGCCTGGGCGGGTCTCCCCGTTTTCCGGAGCCCAGGGAGTGGGGGCGCGGGCCCAGGCCCGGAGCCTCCCGGACAGGCGGCAGGGGCGCCGGCCCGGCGCAGGGGAGAGGCTCCGGCCGCTGCGCCCCTCGAGCGCCCGCGGGACGCCGACGGCAGGGCCCAGGTGTCCACACGGCCGCGGCAGAGGCCGGAAGCAGAGCCGCCGTTTACTTGGCGCCTACTGTGTGCTCTGCGCCCACTGTGCCGAACTGTATCGCAAAGCGTAAGCCGGCAGGTGCCCTGTTAACACCGCTCCACAGGCGTTGGGTTGGTAGGGAGATGACACTGGATCCGGGCCTGGGGAAGCGGGTCGCCTTTCTACTGACTCGGGTAGAACACGATGGCTCCACCGAACCGATCCTGGGGGCAGAGGCCGGGGCAGGCAGACAGCTCCCCCTTCCGCACCCCAGCTCTGGCCACTCACCTTCCTCCGGCGCGCCCTCCCGCTAACCGTGCGGACAGCAAGTTGGTGCCCGAGAAGAGGGCTCCGAGGAGGGAGGCGCCTGCAGGGGAGTAACTGTAAAACAGAAAGGAGACATCAGGCGCCCCCCACGCCCGCCCGGAAGCACGCCCCGCCCCACCTGAGGGCGGACAGGGGCGCACGCGTCCTGCAGGTCACCTCTTCTGGGCGCTCCCCGAGCCTGTCTCTCCCGCCCGGGACGCCAGAGAGAAGCCCAGTGGAGTACTGGCTAAGGGGGTTCCGAGCGGGCCCGGGGTCCATACGCGCCAGCGGGCCAAGCAACCAGCCCCCTGGTGGGTGGGACAACTCGGCGTGCCTAGGGCCCCACGCGCACCCCTCAGAGCCTGCCAGCAACAGCCCCGGGGCCACTCTGGCTCCTGCGTGAGTCCTGAGACTCGGACCTTGCCAGAGTCAGGACTCCAGGCCACTTCCTGCAAGCTGGACTGTCAGAAACCCTGAATTTGCTTGCTGTGCAAGTCAGTCCAGATCCTGCTCCCTTCAAGTCTCTGAAGACACTTCTGTGTCCGTCTCCGCAGCCAGCCAAGCTTGCCCTGACCCTCCCCACTGAAGGGATGCCCCTTGGAGCCCTGATTGTCTCCCTGTTAGGCGGCGAGGGGCCAGGGGCGTAGTGAGCACGGCAGGCTTTAGGGAGGGAAAGCAGCTGGTCAGTTCCTCCTTGAGACTGGCCATTTACTGGTGTTTTCATTGTGTCTCCAGCGGATGGAAGTTTGCATTTCATATCCAGATATCTGTGCACTCCCTACCCCTGCCTGGAGAAAGCTATCATTTGCTCAGCTCCACTATATGCCAGGCACTTTATTGGTGTACTTTACTTAATTCTCACATGACCCAGAGAAGTACACGTACTATTATCCCCATTTCACAGAGAGGGAAACAGAAGCCCAGAGAGGTGATGTGACTTGTCAAGGATACGGAGTTGTGCCTGCTAAAGGATGCCAAGAAACTGTGCCTCACAGGGGTGGGCATCCACCCACACCCCCAACTGCTACCCTTCTGGAATGTGGACTGCCAGTTTATTGACCCAGGCCAGGATAGTCCTGGCAGTGCCTCAGTTCAGGAATTGTCACCTCTAGGGGCAGAGGAGGCCACAGAGGACAGCTAACCGTGCGGACCTGTCTCCCTGCTCTCCCGTGACCAGTGACAAGGAATTTCTGCGGTCCTCTGGGCACTCCAGAAGCATGCCCACCCCTCTTTAGCCTAAGATCAGACCTTGGGAGATCTGGTAGGCTCCTGCTGGATTTATAAGTCCACCCTGATTTTAAAAATCCCAGTATACAGCAAAGAAGTGGGTGACCTATATTACTATCAGGATAATTCAAACAGGAAAAAATGAGATGAAGGGGCAGGGAGGGCATGGTATTTTTACACGACCCCAATGGAGACCCGAAGGGATTCAGGAGCTGAAAAGAGGAACATTGCCAGGAAATGCCCCCCATCCGGTTCCCCGTAAGAGATCTCATCCCAATTGATAATCAAGCAACAAGCTATCACTCCCGCAACCTGAAAGCTGAGAGATGCTTTTTCTTTAAATGACGTTAATGTGATGTTAATATTTTCTTTTTTTTCAATGAAACTATAAGAAACAACCTCTATTTTAAAAAAAAATCAAGTCCATTGGGCCTGAGGTGAAAGAAATAAAAAGCCAAATGGAAAAAAAAGTTTGAGCTTTTTCAAAAGAGGTCCAGGGAGACAGCCCCCACTCAGACTTGGGACGTCTCAGGAATGGGGGTAATTGAGGGGGCCAGGGGCCTGAAGCCTCACTCCAGGGAGCAGAGGAAAGAGGTCCTTTTCAAAATAAGCCCAAGTTGATGGTGTAAGACCAGCCCAGCCTGGGGGAGGGCCACTGGTACCCAGCCCCCTTTCCACCTTGTAGTCCATCTGCACCCTACCAACACAGAGGAGGCTTGAGAAACACCTCCCTGTACATTCCTGCAGTACACAAAGACCCAGGGTCTGGTCAGAAAGAGAGGACAGCAGCTCCAGTCCCAGCACCCCCTAATTCATGGGGGTACAAAAACTAGGCTGCAAGCTGGTGGGGAGGAGGCTGACCAGTGAGGGGGCTCAAGTGCCTGTTTAGATAGAAGCTGAAAGGAAGTTCTAATTAGCACAAAGCCGGCATCTTCCATTAATAGCTCTCCATCAGCTCCTGGATGCGGGCTGAAGGGAGGCAGGTTGGAATGTGTGAGGCTCACCTGTCCCCAGCTCATTAACAGACCTGGGGTGAGAACAGGGCTGTTCTGGCGGAAGACCGGCCCAAATCGAACTTCTGCCCCCAAGCCCGATTTTAACAGTGGGGCTGACTTCTGGGCCCCTCTGAGAGTAAAGTGCGTAACACAGTCCAGTTTGACTGTAAACACAGAATCTGCACTGGCTCAGCCAGGCCTCTGAACACAGTGCTCCCTCCAGACTTGAAATACATTAAAAAAAAAAAAAAAAGTCCTGGCGAACATTCCATGTATATGAAACTCTAGATAGGTCAAACTAATTCCTGGGAAGAAACATTAGAAGGAGGTCAACAAAGACTGACTGGGAAGAGGCAGAGGGGAAGTTTCTGGAGGGAAGGAAATTCTCTTGCATGTTGGTTACATGGTGTAGATACACTTGTCAGAACCCAAAGAACTGTACACCCATAATCTGAAATGTAAACTACACCTCTAATAATATATGTGTAAGTGTACGTGTAAGTAGCTGTATGTCACGCACACATACATACAAAGGTCTTGGCCCCTGACTGATTTCTCCATAGCCTGTGATCTCCTTGATGTGAAGGTTCATAGCCTTTCGAAGGGTCACAGTGGAGAAAAGGGCCAGAGCAGATGGGGAAACGGGGTTGTGCACATCTCACAAACACGTGGCCTTGGCTGGCCGGGTAGGGAGGAGGAATGTCTGAATTGAATCAATTAGCTGCAGAAAACTTCAGAAAAGAAGTAAGGCCCTTCATAAAAACAAAGCACACTCCTTAATCCCCAAAGGCAATCCGCTCCCTGAGTGCCATGGCCATTCCTCTGTAAACAAAGAAATCCCTCCTTCCACATCCACACCTCAATATTCATTAGGAGCTGACGTTAGAGACTGCATTCCAGCCTCCCGGAGTGTCCTAATGACGGGAACCCAAGGGCAGACGACCAAGGGGTTTTCCTCTCTCCTTTCTCTCAGCTTCTCCTCTCCCCTTCCCAGGGCAGTCTGTTCTTTCTTTCCACCTTTCTCCCTCTTTCCTTCTTTTCTTCAAATGAACGAATAAGCAAGCCCAGTGCAAGCAAATCAAGGCAGAGACATCCCTAACTCTACTTTGTTCATTTATCTTGACAAGTGCAGTTTAATTTTAATTATTTATGATAATACTTCATGGTAGATGAGTAAATGTGTGGGGGTCTATTTGGTGACATTAATGTAGTTGGCCCAATAGGAGCCTTCACTCCAGTCAGTACCCCGCCTGGAGAGCTGCCTGCTGGAGGAGTGGGGGGAGACCCCGGGTCTGTGGTAGGGTCTGCAATTTTTTGAGGGGGTGGGGGTGGGGAATTTAATGAGTCTGAGGTTTCTTGAAGGGAAAACTAACCCAATTCTAGAGAAGAGGTAAATACACAACCCATAATCGCATGTGGATGTGGATTGTATGCATTTAAACGCCAAAAAAGCACAGTTTGTGATAAGGAGGCCTAGGCATGCACACATGCCACATGCATATTTACACATGAATCTCCAATGTGCAAATCAGCAGAGGCCCAGAGAAATTAGGCTCTGGGCAATTAAAAATTGAAATAAAAATGGAAAATGTGATACACAGAGTTCTCTATCTCCTCAAAGTACCCTTCTCGTATCATATGCCTCAAGTGGACAAACATGGTGCAAAATGTGGAAGATAATATAAAGGGGGGGGCTTCTTCACTGGTGTTTACTTAGGAATGCTCCCTTCAACAGTGAACCATGAAAAACAGGTCTTAGGCAATGCGACGTCACGTTAAATGGGACTGATTTTTTTCATAACTGCCTCTCTCATCTCCACCGTCGTTCTTAACGGATAGTCATATAAATGTATGATTCAGTATATATATATATACACACAAGACTGGGTATATTATACATACAAATGTACAATCATTTGGTCCAAACAGATTTCTGGTACACCTCAAATATATGCTCCAAGCATTTCCACTAACATTATCTCTGGTAATAATAGACTTGTCACAATACAACTGTTTAATTTTTTTAATGTAAAGAAGTAGCTGGCCCTTTATTTTAAAATAAATAAATAAAAAGTACCTCGAGGCTCCCTGTTTCTCATCTCCACCTTGTCTGCCCATGCCTAAGGTGGTTGACAGGCGTTTCAAGGGTCAGGAGTGGTTTTATCTTGAGACCAGCTGCACTACCCACCTCAGAGTAGAGTCCTAGATTCTTCTAGAGTCTAAAGGCCCAGCTTTGGCCCAGCCCCGGTGGGGGGGCAAAAACTATTCACTTGGCAATTGCTGGTTTCTTTTACTGGATGATTCCAGTGGGGGGTGGGGGTGGGGAAGCAAGGCCCACTCCACAACTAAGGTGCATCAATGGATCAGAGAAGGGAGTCCCTTTCTTGGCACAGCCACAGGTATGTGTAAGAGGGTTAGCAGGACCTGCTGGCACCGCGAAGTGCCTTAAAACAACTCCCCACCCTCTAAGCAAGGAATGTCTTGGCCACTAGAGGAGGGTCATCAGCTGGAGGCTCCCAGCCTTCACACCTGGCCCCAGGCTCCTCGAACCCTTCTCCTTAAAGCTGTGGCCTGGCTCTGGCGTGGGAAAGGCAGTTTGGAGCTTTTCACAAATCCAGTATCCCCTTGAACCAAAACCAATTAGCCTGGCCCAAGGTCCTGTCATTGAGGCCCTGGCCCTCTTTTCAAACCCCTGCGGCTCAATTGCGGTGAGGGGCCAGCCAGTGAATGCCCCGACCACTTAAAGTGGTGCTTAAGCCGGACCGGCCTGGAAGGAAGGAGCCAGCGCTATAGGAGCTGCAGCGGCCCATTCTCAGAGCCACTGACCAAGTTTTGTTCCAGCCACAGCCCCCA